CTGCTAAGTGAGAGAGAATCTCATTCCCGCTCTAAACCAGAAAACTTGTTCAGCACTGCTTTTACTGCTGCTGCTGCTCTGAAATGAGCAGTATATATCAGCAGAGAAGAGCTCGCTTTAGGTGGTCGTGGTTCAGCTCCAGTTCCTCACTTTCTCATTTTCACCACATAATCGTCTTCTGACTGGCGATGTGCTTTGCTACACAGTGTTGTGCGGCACATCACACTACACAGTGGTATAATGCCACTGACAGCGACAGGTCACGTTCGCTTTTGCTGCTGCAGCAATGTCTTCTTGTCTTCTGCACCAGCGAGCGAGAGAATCAAATTAAGCCAAAGTGTGTATAGTTTGATGAAAATGGAANGCTTGGGAAACAAGAAAAAGGTATTTGTGTGTGTACTAGAGTGAAAGTAACGGAATAAAAATGCATTTAGGGGATTAATAATAATTATTGTGCTCATAGTTGAAGTGATCTAGTTTCCAATTATTACAGTTGGCAGTTTTTGGGTGATGCTAATGACGAGGGAACCTGAAATAATAGCATTTGATGCATATGACAACAGGCATTAATTTTACAAGCATACTTTATTTAAATATTATTAATGAAAAGCAAACAAAAATGTTACAAACTTGCACAACACGACAACGGTTGGCAGTCGATAAAATAAAAGAAAGAGAAATAGAAAACGGTCTTTTAGAAGAAAGGGTCACATTCAGTACAGTCGACCAGCGTACCAAGGGGTTGGCTCAGACCAAATTCCAAAAAGCACTTTGGAAGGGGGTATCTGATGAACAATGTTGCTTTTCCGCTTCCATTTGTCGGCAATTCGCTACTTTGTTCATCTGTCATCTAAGTGTATGTGAGTGTGTGTGTGTGTGTTTGCTCTGTCGACTAACAGTAAATCGATCATCAGAGAGTAATAAGAGAATGTACAGTGTGGGTAGTTGAGAAAAAGAGAGCGAGCGAAACTTCAGAAAGTCTTAGGGAAGGGAAACTAAAGTATATCAAAAGCTAAAGTTTTGTTGAGTAGTAAAAGAGAGAAAAAGAGAAATAAAAAGAAAGAATAAAAGAAAAGAAAGACAACCACAGACGTAGAAAACTGCAACATTGTTGTTGAGTGAGAGAGAGAGAGCACACACCTGTTTCCGGTCAAATCGTTTGACCATTGACCATACTTTTCTCGCCTAGACGAGCAGTCTGAGAACGAAGGTCAGCCAGAGCGACCAGGAGGTGATGCAGAGGCCGAGGCCAATGTCCAGCAGTTTGTACTTGGGCGTACGGTCGGCGGCGTAGTAGGGCGGGAGGAGGGAGCGGTCGCCGGTGCGGGCGATGCGCGCCTCCACCACCGCCTTCGACACCACCCGACGGTCGGTGACCAGGCCGAGGGCGGCGCAGAGGTCGATGAAGGCCGTGGCGAGGTTGAAGTTGTCTCTCCAGCCGTGCTCACTCGCCGAGTAGTCCCAGGGAAAGGTGTGGTGGTAGTTGTGGTAGCCTAGAGAAGGGAATCATTAAATGTTAAGTGAAAACTTTAAGCTTTGGCAATCACTTACCTTCGCCCATAGAGAGATAGGTGACCAGCCGATTCTCCCTCGGCTGCAACGCCTTATCGTAGAACTGCCCACCGCTGAGATGGGCCGCCGAGTTGACCAGCCACGCCTGGTGCAACGAGACGATGTAGCGGAAGAAGTTGCCGAAAACCATGGCCATCACTGGTTCGCTCCAAAAGTAGACCGGCACCGAGACGGGAAAGACGCCCCAAACGAGCAGGACGAGGGGAATGTAGAAGCGACGCTGAAAGCGAACCAGCGGGTCCGCCCACACGTCTGACATGTCAATCTGAGCGCCCTTCTCCTTCACCAGCGGGTGCTTCCGACAGAGCAGCCAGCCGACGTGGGCAAAGAAGAAGCCCCGTTTGGAGTTGTGCGGATCGGCGTCCGTCTCCGAGTACTTGTGGTGCGTTCGATGGTCGCGAACCCATTCGTAGATGTCATTCTAGATAGCAGTAAAGATGAGAAAGATGGTCAAATCAGTGATGTTTACAATAGTTGTCATTGGTTAAAACAACAACAACAAAGTTGGGCAGTAATTGAGCTGTCAAGATGAGATAGAAATGTCAGCTTTTTTCAACTTCTCTATTGAGCCTCTTTTCACTCACTTTCTCCTAGCTGCAACAAAGTAACTCAGTCAACGTCTTGCGCCCTTGGCCAGCCAATTTTTATTATTTCTCTTTCAACATAGTGCAAAAGTGAAACGCGGCAACAATGAGATTTTCAAATTATGACATTAGTGAAGTTGCTTTTCTCTAAAAATTAGCATCAAGCAATTTAAAAATGGCAAACAAAAATAAAATTTTGACTAATAAACTCTCCTTTTTCTCAAATTTGCATCACCAATCACCGCAGCTCACTGATCACCAACCGATTAATCACGACGCTTACCACCACCACTAGAGACTAGAAACAATTAGTGCTAGTAATTCATTAACAAAATGAGGGGGCAAACAACAGAGGTAAAAAAGGTAAAGTTGAAACTCTGTCGCACAGGACAGCAGACCTCAGCAGCCTTTTTCTTTCACAATTTTGCCCCCTTCTCCTTCTTCTCTTCTTGGACTACGTGCCATATTACTCGCAGACAGTCGCGAGAAGACCGCGACAGCATCAGCAGCAGCAGTCCTTTTTCAAGGATGCAGCATCGATATGTGTACGATTAATTAGGAGTGTCAGTGGTGTGCAGCAGATTGCCTAGCGCCAGCTGCAGTTGCGTAAAGGAACGACGACTGGAACGACTGCTGCAGTCTCTAAAAGTAGCTTGTCTAGTCATCATCATCATATTTGCCGTTCTGATGATGAATACTCGCCAAATATCAGTCTCAGTACTCAGTTTCACTTTTTTCTTCTTCCCTAATTGTCGCATGCAAGTGTTAGAGGCAAAGTTGTGGTTGGGAAAAAAGAGAGATGCTCTTCCTCTCAACACCGGTCACTTTCTGCCACACTACTCTCTGCACTAATCATGAGCTCAATTGAGTTCAATTGAACTGAAAGAGAAACAGAAAAAGGAGAAAACCGCCCTAACTCAGCGTTTCAACTACTGCTACTGCTAACTATTTCTCGAATGAAAATGAAGCACTCTTTGCTGACGCAATTGCCCCGGCCCCGGCACGGTCTTCCCTTCGGTCAACGAGTGCAGGTGCCCAGAGATGATAATGATGACTAGGAACGAAGACTTGCAAAATACTCTTGACAATATGGTAATTTGACAACGGCATCAACAGCAGCAAAAAAAGTTGGCATTCGTCGAGATGACAGCTAATTTGATTCGACACGGCTGATGAATTATTGGCTCATCAGTTAGTCAAGCAGGCACAAGGAGGCCAGCAAACAGCCCTTACTCACGCTTTGTCGGACTTGTAGATTGTCAGCTGATAAACTGAAAGCTAGCCCATCGCTCTCTCTTCCTTTCATCACCACTCTTTAGAACTGACTCTAGAGCTACCTTGGTGCTTCTGCTCTACATACTAAAAGAAGTTCAACCAAGCAGTTGTGAATACCACTTTATAAAAAAAGTCTAGTGAAAAATTAAAAAAATCTGTAGAGTAACTTCGGCAAAACTTTTCCTCCTTTTCCTTCCTACTTTGGATGATGTTCCAGAGTGATCAGTGGTCGCACTAGTTAGCAGCAGTGGAGAGTAGAAAATGAGGATAGAAAAT